CAAAGTTCCGTCCTCAATCCCAAAAATAAATAAAGTATAAATGTTACCAAATAAATTTTTATAAACCGATCAAAACATCGACATGAGTACACTTAGAAAAATGTAAAATAACTGTCTGTGATAACAAATTTTGACATTTGACACTGCTGCGTTTGATAAGTTTATTCGTTATCGATTCATCGAACGGTCCGCGAATCGATACCTATTGTACCGATACCAATGCAACAGTTTTACAGCTACCAGTCTGCGTATTATTGACACTTGCGTTTATCTAACAGTACTGTATCGATCATAAATATTGAAGAGAGTAGATCTTGATATTTTGATCTGTCTGTTTTGATTGATTCAACGACCGGACGAAATATGTACGTTCGTGCATCAAAACTGTTTGTACAATGGTGCAGAGTCCATTCTATTATTTTTTAGTTCGCTACCATTGTCTAATGGCTAATAGCGCTTGAAACCTGCGTACGAAGATTGATTCTTTTGAATGTTGACGGTGAAAATGTTTTTGAGTTAAGGTATTTTTGTAATTCTATCTAAAATATAATATGTTTGTTATTATGGGTAGGGGTGAGTGGAAACAATGTGGATTGTATTGAGTCATTTGCTAACTTGGCAAACATACTTATGGATATTGATGGAAATTTGGAAATTTGGGAGTTTGGAAATTTGGGAATTTGGAATTTTAGGAGTTTGGAAATTTGGGAGTTTAGAATTTTGGCAGTTTGGAAATTTGGGAATTTGGAAATTTGGGAGTTTGAAAATTTGGGAGTTTGGAATTTTGGGAGTTTGGAAATTTGGGAGTTTGGAAATTTGAGAGTTTGAAAATTTGAGAGTTTGGAATTTTGGGAGTTTGGAATTTTGGGAGTTTGGAAATTTGGAAGTTTGGAAATTTGGCAGTTTGGAAATTTGGGAGTTTGAAAATTTGGGAGTTTGGAATTTTGGGAGTTTGGAAATTTGGGAGTTTGGAAATTTGAGAGTTTGAAAATTTGAGAGTTTGGAATTTTGGGAGTTTGGAATTTTGGGAGTTTGGAAATTTGGAAGTTTGGAAATTTGGGAGTTTGGAAATTTGGGAGTTCGGATTTTTAGAAGTTTGAAAATTTGGGAGTTTGGAAATTTGAGAGTTTGAGAATTTGGGAGTTTGGAATTTTGAGAGTTTGGAAATTTGGAAATTTGGAAATTTGGAAATTTGGAAATTTGGAGATTTCTACATTGCCAGATTTCCAAGTTTACAGATTTCTAAATTACCAAATTTTCAAATTTCCAAATTCCTATATCCCCAAGTTTCTAAGTTCCCAAAATTCCCAAAATTTCAAAAATTCCCAAACTACCGTCATTGCAAAATTCCAAAAATCTCACATTTCCAAATTTAAATATTTCACCCCCGATGCCAATATCGAACCAATCGACAACCCCCGCGACGTGTCCACAATTCGTCATATTAAAAGCACATAATAACCCACGTAGCTACACCGTCGAACAACATCCCTCGTAAGAAATGTAAGTTGAAACGGAAATACGAAACGTACGGTTGCTTTTTTCAAAGGTAATTTATATTCCGTTTCCGATTTAAGAGGCATATTGAGATTTGCTGACTCCCGTTCTATATCCAACATATAAATTTCTGTTGCGTGCACGTAGTGCCGATAACGTGATACGGATCAGCGAACGAATTCGTTCGGTCTTTGTGAGCTTTGTTTGCACACTGAAAGGATATAGGTCGATTGCAAAGAGCTGATTCTTCTTTACCATTCAATATCACGCTTTTGTGATTCGTTTTTCAGGAGAATTCATACTCGTTCCTCGATCGTTGTATCTTTCAAAATCCCAATCTACGATCATCTAACTGTACGTGCATAACGAACGGAATTGCGGTCAAACGTTAGATTTAATAGTACTGTGTTTAATATACAGAGTGTTTCCGAACCGGAAAAGGGAGCTATAGAAAAATTGAACAAATGAAGTATTTTCTTTGTAACTCTTCAAAAAATTTTGCTTCAATCTTATTTTTATTTAATACTAGGTTAAACTTTTATACAAAAATGTGATATGAGAGAAGATGTATTTTATAATTTTATAGTCAGGCACAAAATTTTACCTTCTCTTAGAAAAAATAATTAATGTTTAAGTAAGAAGAAATGCAGGAAAGAAATACACTTTAATCTAATATAAAATATAATACATAGGGTGTCTCACAATTAGTGTGGGTCCCTGAAATGAGGGGTAGCTAACATGATTCTGAATAAGATTTCCCTTTGCAAGTTGCATTACCACGCGTTGCATTACCACGCGTTGCATTACCACGCGTTGCATTACCACGCGTTGCATTACCACGCGTTGCATTACCACGCGTTGCATTACCACGCGTTGCATTACCACGCGTTGCATTACCACGCGTTGCATTACCACGCGTTGCATTACCACGCGTTGCATTACCACGCGTTGCATTACCACGCGTTGCATTACCACGCGTTGCATTACCACGCGTTGCATTACCACGCGTTGCATTACCACGCGTTGCATTACCACGCGTTGCATTACCACGCGTTGCATTACCACGCGTTGCATTACCACGCGTTGCATTACCACGCGTTGCATTACCACGCGTTGCATTACCACGCGTTGCATTACCACGCGTTGCATTACCACGCGTTGCATTACCACGCGTTGCATTACCACGCGTTGCATTACCACGCGTTGCATTACCACGCGTTGCATTACCACGCGTTGCATTACCACGCGTTGCATTACCACGCGTTGCATTACCACGCGTTGCATTACCACGCGTTGCATTACCACGCGTTGCATTACCACGCGTTGCATTACCACGCGTTGCATTACCACGCGTTGCATTACCACGCGTTGCATTACCACGCGTTGCATTACCACGCGTTGCATTACCACGCGTTGCATTACCACGCGTTGCATTACCACGCGTTGCATTACCACGCGTTGCATTACCACGCGTTGCATTACCACGCGTTGCATTACCACGCGTTGCATTACCACGCGTTGCATTACCACGCGTTAGATTACCACGCGTTGGATTACTACGCGTTGGATATCAACACGTTGTATTACTACGCGTTGGATTACTACGCGTTGGATTACTACGCGTTATCCGAAGCCTCCGCTCTCGCGTCTGCGCATGCGTAATCCTTGCGCTCTGATTGCTCCGTGTTTTTCCTTAATAATTCAAAAACGAAGCTTAAAACCCCATTTTTGCAAAGGGAAATCTTATTCAGAATCACGTCAGCTACCACCCATTTCAGGGACCTACTAATTGTGAGACACCCTGTATGAAACATGTCACATATCATGTCACATGTTATACGAAAATACATCATAATTAAAAAATAAAGTTCAACCAATGTGTTAATAATATATTATTAAATTTGTACCGACAAACAATTTTCTGTTTGTACGTTCCATAATACGATACGCGTGAAAGGTTCTCAAATAACACCACACCGTTCGAATCAACCTCACGTATTACAGTGATAAATTTGATATATGCAGAGTAGTAAATATTGGACGTATAGATGGCATGTAATCAAAAAGTATCTGTCAGTCTGCAACGTAGAAAACGACGTCGCTTATATCGATGGCGACGCTTAAAGTGTAAGCAAAACGAGGCTCGCGCCAGACAAAGTGTTCTTCCACGTTTCTCAGTCCCTTTTTTCCACTCTTTCCCTCTTTCTTAAACTTGTGAAAGAAAAGAACATAGCCCTTCCATGGACGGCAGCAGCCATCGAGAGCCAGCAAAAGTGGAATTGTGAAATATTAATGTGACTTCCGCCTGAGCTCTACGACGATTCTCTCTTCTTCTTCTCCTTCAACATTTTCTCTTCTCTTGGTTTAGATACTGGACTAGTCTCCGCCATCTTAGTGTGCAACGTACTGTCACAGACGCTGATAATGCGGATTTCTCAAACACGGAGAATCAGCACATTAGAAATATATATAGAGCGAACGCGCAGCGGCGCGAGTCTAATACCAATATTATACGCGAAACGAATTGTTCATCGAATTGTTTACTGACCAGTGGTAGTTACGTATTTGTGTTTAGGAGTGTTTACCCAAATTTATTTGTATATTTGTGCATAAATAAAAGTAGTATTTGTCGTTGACGATCTATCAACGGCAAATCGTTTCTTTTTAAAAAAAAGTGTTCTTCATTGAGGACGTGACAGTACGAAAATTTCAGGGTGTCATATTTCTAAGTTACTTCCGTTTAATCTTTCTTATTTTGTATGTTTCTTCCTTGTATCTTCCTTATTTTCACTAGTTTTATTGATGAAATATGGTTACTAGTTTACTTAACCATTTTTTGTTAATAAAATATGTAGCTTTCTTTGTTGTAAACGCTTTAGGGTTGTAAATACGGACTGTAGTTTTAAATCGCAGCTGCGTGCGCGCGCAGATCACATGGGACAACGCAGGAACAACGTGGTACTCTAAACATTGTTCCTTTACATTAAATAAAAAGTAAAACGAATAAAAACATGTAAATACATTAATGTCTACTAGAAAATATTTTCTTATTACATTCAATAAAATGTACAAAATTATGTCCTTTTTATAATTTTTAATTTTAAGCGTTTTAAAGTTTCATATCTTTCTGAATGTTCAAAGAAGAATCACACACTTCTATCTCTCTTTTCATTATACCGATTTCTGTTAATAATGTCATAACACACAGAGTGTTTGAAATAAACCTCTCATTATTTATACATGATGGTACCAAGTAAAAAACTCTTAGTCAACGTATCTGAAAAGGTCACAATATCTGAGAAGCATTCCTGCACGTTAGCATCATGATTGACTTGCTTGACTACTATGCTATCAGTCCATAAACGATCTTATATTTCGGTGTTTATAAATCCTGTAGCGAATGTCCTCGTTTTCCCTATATATTACATGACAGATTTCGTCGGCAATCATTCGGTTCTCATCAAGCAACGATTGCGTATTTCCACAGCAGCATCGTACTGAAAATGTCAGCGTATTACTCTAATGAAGAAACGTCAGATGCTCATTTTATGCGCGGTCGTGCTAATGGAAGTGCTTTAGCTGCACTTCTTTACATGGAAAAGTTTCCTAATCGAAGAGTTCCCTCTCATACGCCGTTTCAAAACCTCCAGTAACGTCTTTGTGAATCAGGCTCATTTAGAACGCGCGATCGAAACTCCGGAAGACCTAGATCTGTATCGACTCCTAATACGGAGAATCGCATTTTATGGATTGTAGAAGAAAATCCCGGAAGAATATCCGATGCCGTGGGAAGCGGCGATACTCTTGTCCGGAGAGATTCATGAGGAATTACTCTGCTCATGCCATATACAACGAGCGCACTCGTTCCATCGAGAAAGAATAGAATTTTCACAGTGGCTAAATTTCTTATCTTATATTTCATTTATCTTTTCTTGTGTTCCGTATATTTGCGAGAAATGGAATTACAAATCTCCTTGATGATCAAAAGAGAACGTTTATTCAGAGAAAACATGACCGCCATCTTGTTGTGAAATAAGTAATGCGATATGTACCTGAGTATCTAATTGAAACCACAGCATTTTTCATAATTTTTGTAAAATTGCTATGTATATCGTTATCGACGTATTTAGTAATAATTTTTCATGACCCAAGATTTTCCGTAGAGCTCATAGTATAGCCATGAAAGTGGCTATAAAATTCTAAATAAATAATTCAATCTTATAATTAACCTTGTCAAATTAAACATAACATGTTATATTGAATTCTAAGCAATATTGTAATTTATACATCAGTCTACCTTATCAGTCTTCCAACCTAACCTAACCATCTTTATTATACACAGTATGTGGGAGAAGTAACGGAACTTTTTAAATTTAAGGAAAACTAGCGTCATCTATCAAAACAATATGTTATCAGAAAACAGTATACCTCCCCTACAAAACACAACGATCATTATTGGAATCGAGCAACGAATCGTAAACTTATAGCGTTTAATGCGACAGAACCTTTCGTCACCGTGTCACAAAATCACGGGCAAGCGCAACAAATTGCTCGCGTTGAATATTGCGAGGATCTTATCAAAACAGCCAGACGAAACTGTACATTCCTGGAATCAATTGTAACTAGTGATGAGACTTGGTGCTTCAAGTATGAACCTCGAACAAAGCGCCAAAGTGCTACGTGAAAATCTCCAGGTTCTCCAAAATCAAAAAAATTGCGATTCCAGAAGTCCCTAGAGAAGACAATGTTAATTTGCCTTTACGATTCTAAAGGAATTATACTTCGGGAATTCATTCCACAGGGACAAAATGTTAATGGCGAATATTATCTGGGTGTTATGGAACGTTTGTGGAAGAGGATTGTTCGTGTGAGGCCCGAATATCGAGGGCCGGGAAGTTGGTTTCTGTTGCATGATGACGCACCGTGTCACAGAACTGTCGCTATTCATGAATTGTTGGCGAAAAAGTAAGCCTGTGTGCTTCGACATCCTCTAAAGCTTGACTTATCTCCATGTGATTACTTCCTTTTTCCAAAACTGAAATTAGCTATAAAAGGAATGTTTCATGACACTTACACAAGTCTAGCAGCTGTGACAAAGGTGTTTGATTTCGCAAAAAGTCATTAAAAAATCTATGTTCCCTTATTTTTCCGACATACTGTATATTAGCATCATACAATATTATGTAAAATGAACGCAGTACTATTCGGGTAACAATAGATATTATATCGAGAAAAACAGTGTCCTTGACGTTTCGTCTTTTTCGAATGACTGTTTCAGGAAGGCGAGAGGGGATACTTGGAGGGGCTCGCTTCAAGGTATGCAGACCTCTTCAGAACGCATTACGGAGACGTCCTGGAGCCGCTCGAGGAGCTACGTCGCCGTGAAACAAATGCTTCCCCCAGAATGCCCAACACTCAACTCACCACCAGTCATTCACAGCCCATTTACGTGCCCGGAAAATACTCGGTAAGTGAATCCGTCTCTTTTTTATTCTCTCCTTGATTTTCCTTCTGTCCTTTACCTCCCTTTCTTTACCTCTCCACGAGTATTTACCCTTACGAGTCTCTTTTACTTTTCTCCTTTATTCCTGGACTTCTTAAGAAGCCTTTCGTACATACGTCAGGTAATTGTACCCTATTTTATGTCCCTCGTTAGGTCACTGTTTACCTCAAAATGCGAGATAAGTTTCGTTTACGCGTGATTACGTGGGGGATGCATCAGAGTGTTTCTGGTTGAATTGGATGAAGGCTCATGACGGTGAATTTCTTTTTGCTGCAAATAGTGAGATCTTTGTTTAAGTTTTATTTTTGCTGGGTTTTGTAGGGTAATTTATTTGAAGTCGACGTCGTTAAAGAGATTTATTTAGTTTATTTTTCGCAGTGATAAATTATTTTGGTTAAAGTTAATTTATGTTACTGCAAGTTCTTGAGGCCATCAGATATAACATTTCTGTATTGAAATTAACTTGATTTTTTATTTTGCAGTCAACTATAAGTATTATATTAATAATTTACATACAAATTGTATTCAAATACAAAACCTATTCAAACAAAAATTCCAAAAATTACAATAAAATTACATTTTTGTCAGAACCCAATTAAAACATCTTTGAAGCTTCCACAAAAATAATATTACAGAAGCTCTGTTAAATTACCGTCATCATTATTCTCCCAATTAATTTAATTTTAACAATTAAAAGTAGAAATAGAATGTATTGATCTCATGACACAATTAAGAATTCAAGAATAAAAAATAGATATCTAAAATCCACACGAAGGTAAAAAATATAAGCGCTCCATTGCTTATTTTACCTTTTAAAGAAAAATGGATCGATTCCGGCTATTTGAGTCACGTTCCTCGCAGAAGGAATTTAGCGGCGAACAGTTCACAAAGACTAAACACTTTCCATCATGGAATTGAAAGTCCACGAAGAGCATCTTGCAACGGTAGTTTAAAGGGATTAACCGTGTAGATCTGTCGATTCTGCTTTAAATTAGTTATTGTTCGTTGCTCGGACTTTTCTTGCGGCTAATCGAGTTTCCTATCGATCGTCGATTAAACCCGACCTTTTCTGAAAAGCCAAGAGAATACGGAAGTGAAAAATTCACTAAGCATTTCAATGAATTTAATTCAATTACCGCAACCGAATTAAAATCGAATGAAACTTTTAACGTTTCAAAGCAAAATATTTCACCTATGAAATTAATTTATTTTATTGGGAAGATGTTCATTATTTGTTAGCTAAAATGCTGATATTGGAACATAAATATAATTTGTGTAGGTCTTGAGGACTGTTATATTTATTAATTCGAGGACTGTTATTAATGTATAAACGAACTTTGTATAATTATAAATAAATAAATAAATAAACTTTCAAAAATTATAAACTAAACTAAGCAAAACTTGCACTTGTCAGGCCCACTAGCTACTGACATTTGTATAATTGTATTGTATCGTGCTCTTCTCGATTATTCTTGAAGACAGCACGATTACACCCAATATGTTAGGTGAACTGGTTTGTGCATAAAATAGGTTGAAAAATTAACAATATAGGTAAGGTGCCGATTGAATTTATTCAGCAATAGCTTTTAGTAGGTTTTAGAACGACTTGGTTGAATGTTGACTCGTTTCTGATATTTTTACATTTTGGTATGTGTGAAGTAAACAATTTTTGGTTATGAAGTGGTGGTTCTACCAATCCGACGTAAACTGTAGAGGGAGGAAATAGAAGATAGAGGAAGGCGAGACTAACGGTTTCGTTCTTCAGGTAGTTTGGAAAAAATTCTAATTTTTAGGGACAAGTTTACAGCGTTACGGTTAACTACTATTATAGTCTGAAAAATATGGCGCCCTAAAACAGTTTGGGTTTTCCGTCATCATCTGTTTCCACGGTTTGGGTCCTAACTGTACAATACTACGACGCTACAAATTGTAAATGACTAAATAATACAAATTGCAAATGACTAAATAAACTTTGAAAATGATAAATAAGTGAACAAGATATGATAAAATAATTTTAAACAAAAATAATAACCTAAACAGAACTGAATAAGGTTTCAAAATTTGTATTCAATCATCTCTCACTCTTCCTATTACTCCTATTCATCAACCTCCCCAGTTTCCCCAATTTTCAATCTACAAGAACTAACAGAATTTGATCTAACAATTCGTGAATCCTTGCACTCTCCAAAGAGTAATTGCTGCCTTATTTTTATGGAACAGTGAAAAATTGAGACGAATGAGTGTTCTGACTTTTTGTGCAGCCCTCGAGTTGTCTCAGCGACAAGGAAGAGGACGAAATCTATGGTTTTGGATACGGAGTCTTCAGCAGACAGATGCTGCAACAACGACAGCAAAAACTCGCTCTCGCCGCACAGAACACTACAACTGCCCTTACCCCGGGCACACACCAACAACCATATCAAAGGTAAGACTTTACTTAAAAAATAATGGGTAGTTTAGTGAAAGTGAAATAGGAGGGATAAGGAAGGATTTCGGGATTCGATTTATAAGTGGATTTTGGGGGTTTGGGAATTAGGGACTTTTAGAGTTGGAAATTTGAGAATTTGGGGAGATTGGAATTTGGGAGAAATATGAATTTAGGGATTTGGGAATTTGGGGAGTTAGTAATTTGGGAGAGATAGGAATTTGGGGATTTGGGAATTTGAGGAGTTAATAATTTAGGGAAATGGGAATTTGGCGAAATAGGAATTTGGGGAGTTAGGATTTGGGGGAAATAGGAATCTGAAGATATGGGAATTTGGGGAAATAGGAATTGGGGATGATAGGAATCTGGAGATTTGGGAATTTGGGAAATTAATAATTTAGGGAAATGGGAATTTGGAGAGTTAGGATTTGGGGGAAATAGAAATCTGAAAACATGGGAATTTGGGGAAATAGGAATTGGGGATGATAGGAATCTGGAGATTTGGAAATTTGGAAATTTGGGAACTTGGGAACTTAGAAACTTGGGAATTTAGAAATTTGGAAACTTGAAAGACTAAAAATTCTTAACACGTCTAACAAGAAGTGTATCCTACACCCATCCTTGCACCACATATGGTGTCCCACCCCGTTCAGTCCGTCGACTCTACTTCCTAGTCCTCCCCCAGGCCCATCTAGTTACCATTAAACCAAAATTACCATTTAAGAACTACAGACCAGTCTCCTTCAAAAACCGCTCCCTAAAAATACAAGAGGGTGGACTTACAAAGGTGTTCTGGCGCAGCAAAGCTATGAACGGTTATTCGCACATGTACGAAAACATCTAATGCTAACGTGCTAGATAATGGAATTTAATAACGACCTTCCTTGTCCCCTTTCTCTATTCACGATTCGCAACTATGGAGAACGGGTGCGCGGTAGTCTGTTGGTTAATTAGCAATTAAATATCAAGCAGCCGGCGTAAAGGTGGGCACAGATGCTATTTCGTATCAGGTTGGCCACTTAACAATGGGCAATTATGTATAATAAACAGGCCGTACCAGTTAAGCATTACTCGCGACTGGCTGTTCGAACGAGCATTCGGATAATTGAATCTACGGTACTTTGTAAGCGGAGATTCTATCTATGTACTGTTGCTGATTTTAATCTGTCTATGTTCTCGAGTTTAACCAGGAAATATTAGCTGGCTGTGATAAAGAATCGGGTAATAGGAATATGCGGAAATGCGTGGAAATTTGAAATAATTTGAGTCGTTTCGTGTAAAAATATTTGAAGTAGTTGTATGATTACGGAGGTCTGTACTGTTCTTCTTATGAGATTTAATTAGTTATTTCTGTTATTAAAATTGCAAGTTTTTAAGACAGTGACGTTTTGACTCTGTCAAAATATGTTACTCATATGTGGGACACTTAATTCTCTTCCAAATCCTATTTTACCAAATTCGCAAGTCTCCAAATTCCTATATCCTTAAATTCCTATATTCTTGAACTCCTATGTCCCTATATCCCTACGTTCCCAAATTCTTAATTTTCCAAATCCCTACATCCCCAAATCTTTACACCTCAATTCCTATTTTCCCAAATTCCCAAATCTCCAAATTCTCAAATCCCAAATTCTCAAATCCCAAATTCTCAAATTTCCAAATTCCCAAATTCCCCAAATTCTCAAATTTCCCAAATTCTCAAATTTCCAAATTCCCCAAATTCCCAAATTCTCCAAATTCTCAAATTCTCAAATTCTCAAATTCTCCAAATTCTCAAATTCCTCAAATTCTCAAATCCCCAAATTCTAAAATTCCCCAAATTCTCAAATTAGTTTCCAAATTCCTAAATCTCCAAATCTCTAAACTTGCAAATCTCTACATTCTCAAATTCCTAAATTCCCAAATTCCCCAAATTCTCAAATTTCCAAATTTCCAAATTCCCCAAATTCCCAAATTCTCCAAATTCTCAAATTCTCAAATTCTCAAATTCTCCAAATTCTCAAATTCCTCAAATTCTCAAATCCCCAAATTCTCAAATTCCCCAAATTCTCAAATTCCAAAATTCTCAAATTTCCCAAATTCTCAAATTCCCAAATTTCCAAATTCCCCAAATTCTCAAATCCCCAAATTCTCAAATTCCTAAATTCCCAAATTCCCCAAATTCTCAAATTTCCAAATTTCCAAATTCCCCAAATTCCCAAATTCTCCAAATTCTCAAATTCTCAAATTCTCAAATTCTCCAAATTCTCAAATTCCTCAAATTCTCAAATCCCCAAATTCTCAAATTCCCAAATTCCCAAATTCCCCAAATTCTCAAATTTCC